TTCCGAATCTGAATTGCAGAGTTGAAAAGTGGACATTCATGCCGACGATCTACAATCTCATGAACTGTGATTCAACTCAAACCCATCTGATGCTTCCCGCATATTTTCCGAAGCTCCTCTCGTCAATCGACAGCTCTACACAAACATGCTCCAACGACGAGCAATGTGGACGAGTTTTCTTGTCGAATGACAAGTGCGATGGCGCGAACATAAAACATTTGAAAAATTGTACACGTTTGGAAATTTCGTCCGTAAATCTTCGAACTCACTTTTTCAATGGTTGGATTCGAGCGAACAAAGCAAGCAGCGGATCTGTTTTCAAAGATAATTTGCTGTGCAAATCCACAATGGTGTGTGTATTTTTGAAGGTAGATCTATTGATGATGTTCGGCATACATACTTTAACACTATCTTCATTTAGCTCACGAGAATCGGACAATCTCCAATCACTAGGAACCGCGTGCAAGCATGCGTTTTGCTGGTCAGTTCCTTTCTTCTTCCTTCATTTTCCTCAAAAATAATTCCCTTTTTTTTTTTTGAAAAACTCCTTTTGGTCGATTTCAGACAATCGTGACGAAGTTTTTGCAATAATCCTTGAGCTCTTTTGATTCATGGGTGTTTATCTTGGAAATCTTCATAAAGTGCGCTGTCCCTCGGCCTCGTTCCCGGCCCCCTCTGTACCTATAGAGGGAGATCGCGGCGCATTTGTTCCTCTCGGCAATTTTACCCCCTTTTCAACTGGAAGAGAAAGCTTCGATGTAGGCTATAGGCTAGTGAGTTTCTCTGTACAAGAAGGGAACTAAGTTAGTCTGAAACTGAAAAGAATTGTGATTAATTTGGGTGTCTTGAACCCTTTCCCTTACTCCCTCACTACACGAGCTGAAATCACTCTGAAATTCCTCCATCTGTTTCTTCATTAGATATTTTCTTTACTTTTAGCAGTTTCACTTCACACATGTGCCTTGCAAATATGTCCTTTGTTGGAACAATCCTGACTGAGAAAACGAGAGCTAAGGAGGGCATCTTTACCGTCCTCAATGAGAGATATGAGTGTTCAATAAGCGTCCTGGATGATCCGATAATTTGAAAAGAACTGGATAGTCATTGATCGAATGATTCATCTGAACGCTTATTTTTAATTGCAACCGTAGGAAATGATTCCATTTTAGGGATTGCATCAATTCGTACTCTCGTCTGGACACCTTCACCCTTTGTCCACGATGTGCTTGCCCGTTAGATCTTCATCATCCGAGATCAGCACAAGTTTTCAATAATCTCGCACAACACATCAATGAGTTCAAGTTGTTATTGGTGGAAGTGAGTGTCTTACTTTAAATCCTTCAAATTTCGTGTTCAGTTGGTTTTTAACTGCAATTTTTGCACTATGGCGTTGTCCGAGGGGGGTCGACGGACTACTTGAACTCAGCCCTTTAAACCGCCTCTGCGCTCTCTCGCGGGTCCCTCTCCTCTCCAAGGCTTAGTCCTAGGGCATTCACCCGTTCTCTAATCGTCTGTGCTCTAGCCATCGCGGCAGGACCATTGAGGAAAAATCAAGTAGTCCGTAAACCGTCCAAGGGGGATTGGTGCAATGCGCTTATTGTTAGCCACAATAGCTATGCTTGTTTCTTCAACTTTTCTTTTTTGAGCGTTGTTCTGAAGTGTGCGTGGTCCCAAAGTTTGCCCCAATCTCCGCTCATTTGTTAACCAACTCGGCAGGGTTGTCGGGGTGTCTGGTTCGGTGGTACAGAAAACGACATTACCGCTTCTCGCAGCGCGATACTTTTTCCTCTACGGGATTCCTACCACTGGTTATGAGTAGTCTTGGGATTCCGCAGCAGAAAAAGTTTTGCGTGGGAAAAGCGTCAAATTCGCATTCTGTCCTAGCGAGCCACACCCGTTTGTTGAAGTTGATCTCTTGTTGGAATCACACTTCTGATCTGCCATTTTGCATGAGAGATATGTCAGATATTGATTGACGATATGAAATTTCTATGAGTTTTCAGTATGAGCAAGCTCTTCGCAACGGAGGTGCGAGTGCAGTGGCCACAATTGCTCAAACGCAAAAGCTTTTCGAGGTTCATGCAGGAATCGATGAAGATTTGGATGATCAGGCTGCTAGAAATGAGTTCGTTCACCATAGTTTGAGTTCTTTTTTCTATGAAATGTAGATTTAGGGCGATAAATGATTTCATCAGCACTCAAAGAGTATGTGATCCGATACCGGAAGAAGGGAATGAAAGGTGGGTGATCTATTGGTGTATAGTGAAATATTTCTCGCGAATCAGTTTTATAAGTGTTTCAGATCCCGGGAAAGTAGTTATTCAGAAGAACTTAATGACACACCACCTCCAAAACTAAAGTCTAACGCAAATATCGGAGCAAATGCTAAGCCAGCTGTTGAATTTGCTGATTGCTTCGACGACTTTTCTGATGAGGAAATCACAGCAACAACTCCGTATGTCCATTGCTGCTACTAATTTACAAATATGTTGGCAGGATTGCAGCTATTACAATAGTACCGTCCATATCTGACCGTGTGATTAGGCATATCCACTGATTTGACGTGGCGCTTACCGCACTTGATAGAAGACGCGTGGATAAACTGTTTCCAAAGCACCTCGCTGGGCATGGCATACTGATAACAGCTCATCCACACGACTTCTGTCAAATGCAGTCGCTGCCACGTCAAATCCGTAAACTGCCTGATCAGAGGGCGAGATACGGACTGTATATCTATCAC